GAGATCTGCCCTCTGCCTGGCCTTCCCTTCAGCCCGGGTTAGACTCTGGCATCACTTTGTCCTTTAGTTATTATTTTATTGCGAGCGGCAGAGGAGGGACCGTTCTTGCAGTCCAATGTTCCCACAGAGATAGCGGTGCAGAGGGCAAGGAATGAGAGAAGGCCGTGCCCCGGGTGTGTCCGATGGGAGCCGGCGAGCGAAAAGCGCTGGAAAGGGCTTTTGGTAAACAGCCACGTTCAAATCACTTTTCCTGTCTTTAATCAGCAGCCCCCCCCTCCCCTTTTTATGTTTTCCTCTCCAAAAAGCAACTTTTTCCCGTCCTCCTGGATCGTGCATGCTGCTAACCAACGGGGCTACAGGTGGTTTGCATTAAAACGGTTGCCTTGGGAGAAATTCTCCTTGCAACTTTGGGCCCTTAGACGCTCCTTAGCCCTGGATGGAGGGCGTGTGAGTGTAAGGATGTGAAAACGGTGTGGACGCAGCCGGCACATCGTTTGAAAGAGGGTAGAAAGTACAGCGTTGGGGAAGATTCTCTCCAAAGTCCAAAATCTCCAAAGTTGCTTCTAGGGGGTGGGGAGAAGACGATTTATGGGTTGCGTTTTGTTTGAAATTGAATCTTTGCAAGCCGACAGAGGTTTTAGCCAGACGAGAGCGTCGTCTTGTTTTCATCACTTTGAACAGTGATGTCTCTCGGAGAACAGCGATTTTTTCTCACTTTTCATCCCCCAAACCCCAAATAGGGATGATTTTTTTCTGTTCTGCTCTAGCACCGATCCTGCGAGGTAGATAATCTAAGTGACTGAAGCCTTCCTCTGAGCTTCAGAGCTGAACCCTGGGAGAATTTGAACCCGGGGCCTGAAAGCTTCGGAGCTGGACCCTGGGAGGATTTGAACCCGGGGCCTGAAAGCTTCAGAGCTGGACCCTGGGAGAATTTGAACCCAGGGCCTGAAAGCTTCGGAGCTGGATCCTGGGAAAATTTGAACCTGGGGCCTGAAAGCTTCAGAGCTTCAGAGCTGGACCCTGGGAGAATTTGAACCTGGGGCCTGAAAGCTTCAGAGCTGGATCCTGGGAAAATTTGAACCCAGGGTCTGAAAGCTTCAGAGCTTCAGACCTAGACCCTGGGAGAATTTGAACCCGGGCCTGAAAGCTTCAGAGCTGAACCCTGGGAAAATTTGAACCTGGGGCCTGAAAGCTTCAGAGCTGGACCCTGGGAGAATTTGAACCCAGGGCCTGAAAGCTTCAGAGCTGGATCCTGGAGAATTTGAACCCAGGGCCTGAAAGCTTTAGAGCTGAACCCTGGGAGGATTTGAACCTAGGGCCCAAAAGCAAACCATCCACCATGCTGGCTGGTCTCTTCCAGGCCTCAAAGGTTATATTGCTAATCTAAGTGAAGCTGGTCAATTGTAGTTGAAATTACTCCATTGAGCAAAATGGGTTTTTTAACACAATAAAGCCGTGTTTTCTTTTCACTTTTAACCTTCTGTAAGGTAAGAAGGGATCAAGAATATAAGACAAGGTCGAAAAACAGTGTAGGAGGACAGGCTTAGTAGTCTAGGTGGCAAAATCAGGAGTCTGCTAAGCCCCTTTTCCAGCTAACACATTTTATTCTATGAAAAAGCTGATGCCTTTGAGTAAAATGTGTTAGTCGCTAAAGGTGCTCTCAGATGTGTCCTGATTTTTATCCGAAAGCGGTGTATTTCAAAATTCAGCCATGGTTTCCCTAGAATCACGAAGATTCCTCCAAATTACAGCTATTATTTTTATTACGATGAGCATAATATACAGCATCTTTACAGATCTGATAACAATGTGATGCGTCCCTCTGTGAATTTAGTATTCCAGTTTTATCAGTGACTTTTTCAAGGACGACTGACCGGACTTTAGCATGCCAATGGCCCAGCAATGAATTATCCAACCATTTTCCACTTTTGAGTCATTATTGCTTTAGCACTTAGGAGGGAAAAAGTATAAGAACTTTTGATGTTTAAAAGCAAGCAAAGCGGATTGGAGAAATTGCACGCTTCCTAGTTTCCGGCACGTCCCAGGTGAATTGACCGAAAACATTGCCAAAGCTAGAAAGGAATATTGAAATTGGAACAATTAAGGAAAATAGAAATTGTAAATCAGCTTTTGTAAGAAGCAGCCTAGCTTCGTGACTCTTTTAGAGATTTTCTAGGGTGGGGGCAAGCATTATCGCACAAAGGACTTCTACGTTTTATTTGCTTGTTTCTTTTATTAAATTTAGAGGCCGCCTGACTCCAAACAACTCTGGGCAGCTTACCCTTTAAAAAGTAAAGATGATAACAGAGAGGAAAAGTTCGTGATTGTCCAGAAAAAAAGGAACATACATAATAATGCAAAAAAAAATCCCAACGGGCTCAGCCACTACCCTACTCCAAGGCCTGGGAGAACAGCCAGATTTTCAAGGACTTTTGGAATATCTTCAGGGCAGGAGCCAAACAGATCTCTGGATTCTTCTGCATTGGTTTAGATAAGTATTTCTCAACCTTGGCCACTTTAAGATGGGTGGACTTCAACTCCCAGAATTCCCCAGCCAGCACAGGGTTTCTCAACCTTGGCCACTTTAAGATGGGTGGACTTCAACTCCCAGAATTCCCCAGCCAGCACAGGGTTTCTCAACCTTGGCCACTTTAAGATGGGTGGACTTCAACTCCCAGAATTCCCCAGCCAGCACAGGGTTTCTCAACCTTGGCCACTTTAAGATGGGTGGACTTCAACTCCCAGAATTCCCCAGCCAGCACAGGGTTTCTCAACCTTGGCCACTTTAAGATGGGTGGACTTCAACTCCCAGAATTCCCCAGCCAGCATGCTGGCTGGGGAATTCTGGGAGTCGAAGTCCATACATCTTCCACCTGCCAAGGTTGAGAAACACTGCTTTAGATGACGAGAAGGCAGTTCACCTGTGGAATTCATGGCCACAAGATATAAGGATGTTAGACAGGAAAAAAAAGTGGTTTGGTCACTGCTAACCATCATAGGTTGCTGCGAAACGATGCACATCTTAACGCCGTGGCCCTTTTCCAGCAGAGCTCTCTCCTTAACTCGACCTACTTTCCTCTCCATCCCCAACTTTTTCAGTCATCATCTGGTGCTGTTTCTAAAAGGTCTGGGAGCAAGAGAGCTTGGGACGTCCACTGGAAGGTCTCCTTTCCCTTCATTTTCTCTCCGAGCCCCATTCTTAGGGAAGAAGGGAAAAAAACGACAGCCGCCTCGGTCTGACTTTTCCCAAGCTTTGCGATTGCTCATTGGCACCGTGCGGGAGCATGGCGAATGTCATTATTGCCTTTTTTTTTAATGACTTGGAGAGTTTTGAAAGAGGGGAAGGGGAAGAAATATTGTTGGAAAAAGATGGGGTGAAAGTAAAAAGCGCCCCAAACGTTGCAGTGTGGATAAACCGACAGATCTCTTACAAACCAGCTTTGGTGGCCTGTCGTTGATTTCCTCAAATGCAGGGTGCTTATCTTAATGGAGGAGCATCAATCCTCATAGAGAGATGGGTGGAGGAATAGTTTTAAAAAGGGCCTGAGAGAAAGAAATAGGAGGAGGTAGGAGGAGGAGAAATAGGAGGAGGACCAGCTAGTGATAACTTCCTGTTGATAGTCCACAACACAAAACAGATGTTGGGCGTGACCAGATGTTCTTGCACGAAGAGCTGGCTGCACGGGGTGTGATCACCCACCTTGGTTAACCTTTTTGCTTCCCCTGGCCCTGTGCTTAATTGCCACCCTAGACTTGTGTGAGTTTCACAAGCAAGTCCTCTCCCCTGGGGAATTCTGGGACTTGTAGTTCTAGCTCTTGGGAGGAGGTGGGCTCTCACTCGTAACAGGTTTTGAAGGAGAGGCTGAGTGGCCTGTCAATCAGGCCTGCAACAGCCGTGGTTTGCTCCCCCCTACATTGTGGGTTGGACTAGATGACCTTGGGGATCCTTTCTAACTCTGGTCGATCCCACCCTGGCCCTTGAGTTGGAATCTGCATTCCCGGTGCCCTTTCTCCCAGCAAAGAGAGTAAAGAGAATAAAGTTAGCAGTTTAATCTTTTTTTTTCCAATCCACCAGAGACGATTTGCTTATTTTATTTTATTTTATTTTATTTTATTTTATTTTATTTATCAAATTGGTCACTGCCCATCTCTTGAAACTACCCATCTGTTGAATTTCTGGGCATTAGGGGTCTGTTGACGAGCCAAGGAGCCCTAACCAAGGTGATAACTCTTCGATTTTTTTTAAGACCTTATTTCAGAGCCCAGTTGTTAACAACGATAACAATGGCAACCGAATATATTGATTACGATTAGCTCGAATAACAGATCAAAGATCTGGTTGTTATCAGAACTGGAAAGCTGAATTCACAAATTGACCCTCCTGGTTTTCACGGTGTGACTATCTAGTTTGTTCCCAGGTCTCTGAGTTTGGATCTGAAATTGAGTTTGGAGTTTTACGCAGCATTTTAACGGCTGCTTTCTCCGCACCTCGTTTCAACCTGCATCTTCCCAACAGCGTATTTCCGGCTCGCCGTCGGGCACGAAGGCGCTAGCTTTTCCTTACCGCCCTTCCCTGGGTGATTGGAGGCATGCTGCTCCTGTATATGGAGGCTCCACTGACCCAGCATGGGATTCGCAGCTCATCCTCCGTGAATTTTGCAGCCCCGGGGAAGACAAACAGGCTTCTAAATGTGTGGGTCTTGTAAACGAACGGGGCTAGAGACTTCTCCCGGTGGCTTCTGCTCTGCTAAAACTTTACCCCTCGGTAGCGTTGCAGAAAAACAATTCCTAAAGCAGAGAGTTGGTGCATCTTTGGCATTAACCCATTAACCTGTTTGTAGCTTCTATGGCACGCTTCTGCACTGAAGAAAATCATGTAAAAATAGTATCCATCTATCCATCTATCCGTTGGTTGCCAGATACTCGCTATAACCCCTAATTGAGAAGAAAAGGAAAATAAGATGTGCTGATTCTTGTCTTTCTCCCACCTCCCTTTCTAGGAGCCCACGAGCCGAGCGCTGGTGACCCTGCGCGTGGATCCACAGGGATTTTTCCTCTACTGGACCGGCCCAAGTCTGGTACTTGCATTTCGCCTTCCTCATCCTCCCTCCCTCGCGCTTTCTCCCCCTCCTCTCCTTCCCCCTGTGCACCGCTGCGCATTTTCAAAAGGCGCTCGGCCTCCTTATCGCTGGCGCCGGATGCGCAAGTTCGGAAATGCCCCAGTGCATGGTGTTTATCTCAGAAGCCAGCGGCGAGGTGGCAGGGGGGCCGGCCCGTGCCCGCTGCCACCCCCTCGCCTCGGCCGGGGGGTCAGGGCGGGCCGTGGGGGGGGGGGAGGGGGGGGGGGGGCGGGCCCGTCCCCGCTCCCCCCCCCTCGCCGCGGCCGGGGGGTCAGGGCGGGCCGTGGGGGGGGGGGAGGGGGGGGGGGGGCGGGCCCGTCCCCGCTCCCCCCCCCTCGCCGCGGCCGGGGGGTCAGGGCGGGCCGTGGGGGGGGGGGAGGGGGGGGGGGGGCGGGCCCGTCCCCGCTCCCCCCCCCTCGCCGCGGCCGGGGGGTCAGGGCGGGCCGTGGAGGGGGCGAAGCGGCCCGTTGCAACGGCATGCCGTTCCCCCCCTCCTTTCCACCCCAAGGGAAGGCGTGTTGCATAGCAGACTCTGGGTAGGGGTGTTCACCTTCTTACAGAGCTGAGAAGTCGCTCAGCTGGTTTGGCAAGAAATCTGGCGAAAGAACCGAGGTGTTGCTTGGGGGGGGGGAAGGAGGGAGGTTGGCTGGGAGTTTTCACATTTCAAAAGTCAAACAAAACTGATTTAAACAGTGGCTTTTTCCTCTCCTCCTCCTCCTCCTCTTCCAATGCTTTCCTCCGAGGTGCCCCCTTCTCGCTCTGCTGCAGACCTCTCCGCCATCTGCCTTCCAAGGCTGGACATGGCTTGTCCCACGCTTGGAATCAGCACTGAAGGTGGTCTAAAGATAGCTGGGTTCCAGTTCCATGGAAATTCAGGGTGACTCATGTGGCTGGTTGGCTTTGATGCCTCCTGTCTGCACGCAGAGGGGGATCGCTGGGCACAACGTGCTCCTCAACTCCCAGGGCAAGTTTGTACAACCCACTCCGGGCAGCATTGAGCCGTTTCCCAGATTCGCCCGGGCGGGGAAGGGGGGCGAAGGGTTGGGGCAGAGCTTCAAAGGGGAGCGTGAGAATTGTAAGGAAGTTTTTAGGCCCTTGGGAGAAGTCCGGCTGGGGCTCGTGGGGTAGGAAGATCAGTGCCAAAATCTCCAGGGAAAAGTCTGGAGAGCGGTGGCTGAGAAGGGTTGGGGTGCGTCTGTTGGCACGGCTTTCCCTTGACGAGGGTGGCATTTTCGCCCAGGTGGCATTTTCGCCCAGCTGTCTTGTCTCTGCTTCTGAGCCCTGCGAGGGGGGAGCATCTCTTCTTGAAAAAGGAAACAAAAAGGAGGTTCAAGTTGCGTTCCCTTGCTATTGTCCATGCAAGAAAAGAAGAAGGGGGGAAAAAATGCCCCACCTTGCAAAGGAATGTCAGCTCTGGAAATGCAGAAAAAAAAATATTCCTCCAGAATAAAAACACCTCCAACCCTCAGCTGGCCCATTCTTTGTCTTCAGATAGGGCTTTTCTCTCAAACAGGCATTTCCTCTCCCCGGGAGGAAAGCCTGTTCATTTTTCAACAGTTTTTCTATTCCTTTTTTTCCTCGCCACCGCATGATTTCCCTGCACAATTTCTCTGTGGTTCAGAGTTCTTTTGCATCTGGCATCCAGCACCGAGGCGGCCTCTCGTCCGTCTTTTTAAGTGTGCGCTCGGCCCGGCCAAAGAGCGGAGGCTGTTTGCAGATGTGGCCGGATTTCAGAAGGGAGCTACAGCTGAGCAGGGCTAAAACACCATCTAGACTGACCCCTCGTAGCTCTACAATATAAGGACATGTTTTTGAAAAACGTTTTTAAGTCTGATCCAGGGTCAAATATGGGTTGGATCAATTTAATCTGGGATTTTTATTTCATTTATTCATGCTTTTTTCAAGGGGGGGGAATGAATCGTTTAATAAACTTTAATTCACATGTTACAGCCTTCTTCGGCTTAACGGCCCCCAGATGTGCAAAGTCCAACTTTAGGGGGTTGTTGAGAAGTTTGGATCCAGGTATCTGGAGAGTACAGAGGCCAGGGAAGACTCCTTAAATCAGGGTTTGCTGGCAAGGTTGACAGACACCCTGGGCCACAAATCGTGGTTTATAAGACCACAGGGGCTTAGGCTGCCCGTAGAACCCCAAATCAGACAAGCCATGTTGTATTCCAGGGTGTGTTATGGGAAACCATTTCTAAAACGCCGTTAGCTAGTCAGCTACAAATGCTGGTTTAAAGGTGCAGAAGGATGGCAACATCTGGCATCTTCCACATGTGTGAGATGTCTAGGAATCCTGGAACTTGAAGCCCAGTTCATCTTTAAGGCATTTAAATTGCAAATAGGAAATATAACGCTTTGATGGACAAAGTGCCTTGAAAGAAAGGCCATTTCCTCTCTTCCCTCTTCCTTTCCAGCAGCTTATAAGAAGCATTTGCCAAAAACTGAAGAGAAAGGCCTAGAAGTTGCTTATGTCTAATACGGGATTTTGATATAATGATTTCAAACTCTCGTATAACCGCTCCCTCGTCTTTTTCTTTCGACTTTTTTTTTAAACCGTGGATTGATTGTAATACGTTTTACCCCCCCGTCCGCAAAACCAGAAAACAACAACAGAAAAACGTCTAAAAAACAAAAAAAAATAACCAACCACCCCAAAAAAGGGAGAAAAAAGAATGAAAGGAGGGATTACGACCGGTCTACTGTTCCATTTGGGGCTCTCAAACTCACCCGTCTATTATTATCCGACGCCTTTTAAAATTGCGGCGTGTTTTTAAGGGGAATTGCAGAATATTAACTCTTCTAATGGCCAAAAAAAAGAGGCTTGTGGCATTTTACAAGAAAGCAAGCAAAAAGTAAAAAAATAAAAACACGCAGCACAGCTCTTCCCCTGCCCGTCCCCTTCCCAGTATTGGAGTCTTAAGCAGAGAACGTGATACTTTGCAATAAATTACAGCCTCTAATAGGGAGAATTAATGGAAATATAAGCAAATAAGATGGAGTGAAAGTGTGTATTGCCTTCCTGCTGGGGTGCCCAGGGAAGGGAGCGTGAAGAGCTAAAACTGGGCTAATGGATGGCCTCCCACAGAATATAATGGAGACTAATGTTTGTTGTTGCTGGTATCGCTTGGATTTTTCCTCCCCCCCCCCCTTTAATTATGCAAAAGTCAGCTTTGGGGATTTTACGAGAAAGGTGGTGACTGGCAATGAAAAAAAAAATCTAAAATTAATATGCTCCTTGTCATGGGGGCAGGGAAGAGGGAGACCTTGTTATCTAGCCTAATTAACACGTTTTGTGGTTCTTGTTGGTGCAGGAGAATGTGGGGGAAATGGGCCGTGTCCGCTAATAATGCACGTTAATTGAAGATTGCTTTCCATTTTTTTTCTTTCTCTTTTCTCGCCCCCCCCCACCTCATAGGAAGTGGACATTTTGGATATCAGCTGCATCCGAGACACTCGGAGCGGACGCTACGCCAAGCTGCCCAAGGTATATCGGGGTTCATGGGCATCTTTAAAGGGCCGCCACGCTCCCCAATCCTGTTTGACTTCAGGGTGGCGCGGTAGCCCGAAAATCCGGTGCTGGTTTCCCTCTGTTTCGTAAAAATGTGCACTGTGCGGGTGCACAGAACTGCAGCATTTTCTGCGCGGCCTCCGGTTCGGAGCGGTTTTCCAAGGTACAGGCTGGGTTCACTTTTTGCACAAAGCCGTGGTTGGTTTCGCTATGCTTTTAAACCGTGGTTGGTTGAACCCTGGCTGACTGGCACAAATCAAGGCTTAAGGCCTTTTACATCATCATACCAAACATTAAGGGGTTCCGGTGGCCATTGTTAGTTTAAGAGCAGTGTTTCTCAGAGTTGGCAACTTGAAGACATGTGGACTTCAACTCCCAGAATGCTGGCTGGGGAATTCTGGGAGTTGAAGTCCACCTGTCTTCAAGTTGCCGACTTTGAGAAACACTGGACTCTTAACAAAAACTGCTTCTTCATAGCCTGCACCCAGTTAAGGTGGCCTCCCCAACGCTTCTTTCTCCTGTCTTTTGAAGGACCCCAAGATTCGGGAAATCCTGGGCTTTGGAGGCCCAGAGCAAAGGCCCGAGGAGAAACTTTTGACAGTGGTTCATGGACCTGACCTGGTCAACGTGAGTTTTCTCAACTTCATGGCTGTTGTCCAAGATAATACAGCAAAGGTAAGATGGCCAGTTCCTGGAGTGTGAAACCTGTGTTGAATGCCATGGCTCAGCCCTAAAATACCAAATTAACGTACAGTATATATCCAATAGAACAGCTCCCTGCCTGCTGGTCAGACAGGTGAAAAATGCCATGACTGATAGCTAGCTCCTCAAGGCAGAACTTTCTCCCTGAGGTGCTAGCTTTTTTACATGCAGGGGATTTATTTCCTCGGGATGCTGATGAGCCCTGCAGGGAAACAACCCAGAATATGTTTTCCACCTTGATTTTACTGCTTGTGTCAACAGCCTAGGATTATTCAGATAGAACTGCATTCCTTCAAGACTTCCTGTTATGGAATAAAAGAATGTCCTTGTTCCTTTCGGTTTTGGATTACTAATTAAGCTAAATAAATTACCGAGAACTTCTTGGGCTCTTATGCAGAGTTGCGATCCGCTAATGGTTGGGCTGTCATTTGCACAAATCATTATTGTTATGGCTGTGGTTTCTCTAATGCTGTTTCTCCCCCAATAAGGCTTGCAAGAGAACTTTTTTTTTCCTACCTTAAACTAAAAACTATCACCGTGCTTAAACTCCAGCACTTAAACGCAAAAACGGCAGCAATAAAAGGCGAGCGTTTTAAACCGCGGTTTAATTGAACATTGCAATAAACGGTGGTTGCTTTTCACCCCACGGGGTTACCGAAGGACAAACAGCCAGAATCTGTCTTTCAGATGAGCAAAAAAGCCCAGCCGGGTTCACCCTGTTGGTTATTTCTTTGCTGTCCCCTTTTTTAAAGCGGTTCTTGCTTTGCAGATCTGCCGCTGGGTGAAAATTGGTGCTTTCGTGTCCGTGGCACCCTCGGATGGCATCTGCGCGCCCTCCAAATCAAATTAGACTTCGTGTTTAAAAATTGGCTGAAATCTGGGAAGACGCCAACTTTGTTTCGGCTTTTCCTTGTTTCCAGGAGGTGCGCGGTTGCGCTGGGTGGCATCGTCGAGTTGTAGCCAAAGGAATCGGTTGTGATGAGAGTCCAAGAGTGTGTTTGGGGCACAGACGGGCAAAAACAGGTCCCTGGAGATGACTTTCCTTCCTTCTTCTCCTTCCAGATCTGGACGGAGGAACTGTTCAAACTTGCCACCAACATCCTGGCTCAAAATGCTTCCCGGAATACATTCCTGCAAAAAGCGTAAGTGATTTTCCAGCCGTGATCAGGGAAAGGATGAGGCTCCCTCGTCCACAAACAGCCTTTGTGACCTGACTGCCATTTGCAGTCTTGACCAACCGAGCTGGCCTTTTGCAAGAGAAGCGCTGAATCAAAATCCAGTCTGGGTGGAAGACATTTCTTTGCGAAGGCTGAATCAGCTTATCTCCATGACCACGATAAGCAGCTCCACCTCTCCTTCCTGCCCAGTTAACTAACTCTCCAGTTATGTCGTTACAGCTACACCCGGCTGAAAATCCAGGTTAATCAAGATGGGAGGATCCCTGTCAAGAAGTAAGATGATTTCCCCTTGCCAGAGGCTTTTCTGCACGCTGGGAGGGGAGGGGGGGAGGGGAGCGGAGGGGAGGGGAGGGGAAGGGGAGAGATCAGACATAATATGATGGGATGAGGAGAAGGGAGGGAAAGAAAGAGAGGAAGGAAGGAAGGAAGGAAGGAAGGAAGGAAGGAAGGAAGGAAGGAAGGAAGGAATCAGACATAATACGATGGGATGGGGTAAGATGGGATGGGAAGAGAAGGGAGGAGAAGGGAGAGAGGAAGGAATGAAGGAAGGAAAGAAGGAAGAGAAGAAAAAGGGCAAGGCAAGGCAAGGCCAAACCATGGGATTCCCCCCTTCCAGAAATCTTGCTCGTGCCCACTTCTGTGACCCCCCACCCACTTAAAAAAAAAATCCTGTTTTTGTAAATACTCAGAGTGGCTGATAAAAATGCTTGGAAACAGAATCAAAATGTAATTTACCTTTAAAATCAAAATTTAAAAATACCACACAGTAAACGCCCAGATACCCTTTTCCTAGAACAGAGCCCTTTCCTCTGCAGGGCGCCTTAAATTGAGGTCCATGGCCCCATTTATCACCACCTCCTAAGGAAATATTTCCCAGAGTGTTTTTGTTCTTTATTTAAAAAATGCCCATCGTAGTCAAAATGGTGAAAAGCGGGAAGCTTAGACGGGCTCTTGTCTGAAATAGCAGCAGGAGAGCATACACAGCAGCGTTTCCGACCTCGGCAACTCCCAGATGTGTGTACTTCACGTCCCAGAATTCCCACCAACACCATGCTGGCTATGGAATTCTGGGATTTGAAGTCCGCACACTTGGAAATGGCCAGGGTTGGGAAACCCTGCTCTATAGTATACCATTAAGGCTGGATATTTAAATTATAGAGAATTTGGCTTCTGCTTTGTGGAGATTGGGTGAGGTTGGGCCTGCTCTGGATCGTTCGGGTGTTGGCTGGCTCTGGGTAAAGGCCACCTCTCTGGTTTCTTCCCGAAAGCTGGGCCAGGAGCCAAACCGCCGCTTGGCACCGTTGTTGGCTTTGGAACCTGCTTACGGTCTGCGAAGTTCAGCCTGGGCTGGGAGGGAACAAGAGCGGTGAAGTTTGCCCGGCGAGGGTATTGTTGCCCGGCTGCAGGAACAATCTACCCATCGCAGCTCCTTCTACGTAACCCTCTTCCTTGCTCTGTTGGGGACAGATAAGCCGAGCCGGGTTTGGCTCCAAGCGGCCTTCCCTTGTAGGATTGTTTTATTATTTTGAACATTTTTAGCCTTCCCAGAAGACCTGCCCAGGGCTTCTGGTCCTGCCTTGCAGGCAGACAAGTCTGTTCTTGAGATGTTCCAAGTCCCATTGATTGCCCTCCCTTGGTGGCACCTCCTGCTTTTCTTCATCCTCCCACTTGAAAGTTCATTCTCTGGTCCTCCAGAGCTAGCCATCTTTTTATCTTGCATGCCTGCTTCTTGCGACTTTTGCCAATGGCAAATTCTGCTTTGGCTTGGGGAGACCTGGGTCCAGCTACGCCACTCTCTCATCCAGGTGGGTCCAACTACAGCTCCCATCGCCCCAGCTCCCCGGAACATGAGCTGGGGATGATGTGAGGGGCAATCAGAAGGTCTGGAGATGTTTGGTTGAGGGAAAGCCAAGCTGGGTTTCAGATGACCAAGCCCTTCTCACTTCCTTCTTGCAGTATCCTCAAAATGTTCTCAGCTGATAAGAAGCGAGTGGAGACGGCCCTGGAGTCATGCAGCCTGAATTTCAACAGGGTATGTTCCTCTGGGTTGGTGGCTTCTTCCTTTGATTCTCCCCAGTCATCCAGATCTCTTCCTCAGCATCACCCCAGACCCTTCAGTCTGACCCAGATCCAGAGAAAGATCTACCTTACTTGGTTAAGAAGGGAAGTCTTCCCACAGAGCCAGCACGGTATAGTGGTGAAGGTGTTGGAGCACCAGCAGGGAGACCCGGGTTCTGGTCCACCCTCCGCCATTGTGATGGAATGGACTTATGAAGGCCAAGCTCAGGGAGATAAACATTTTCTTAGA